TATATATTTTAAAATTGGTTTGCTTACAGTTTGTATACCTTTTATTTCATACTATTCGTCATTCACATTGTGTTTCATACACACACAGTCATGCATTATGTTTTCTAAAATTAATCATTTGACCTTGCCTTTCATTACCCTGTCTTTGCACCCAGATCCTTCCCATTTCCTTGCCTCCCCTCCCTCACCCACCAAACTTTGTAACCCTGTGGTTTAACCCTTACCCATCTTCAACCCTCCCCTCCCTCGGTTTCCATACATGTTTTACTAGTTATCCTTCTTTTTTTACAATAATGATAGTACGCAGTATTTGTTCTTATGAGACTTATGATGTACTTATGAGCTGATTGTCTCATCAGCAGTGCTCTTAAGGGACTATGAGATAGAGAAAGAAAGGAAAGAAGAGGAAAGAACACCATGGAGGGTCAGAGGAAGGTGGAGGATGCCTAACTCTGGGGTGGGCAACAGCACTGCAGACCAATGAGCTCATGGATAAAGGCTGCCTGGGCTCCTCCCTGGAGTGAGAAGGGGCTGGACATGCTGCTTTGCATTTGCACAGGGCATAGGAACCACAGGGGAAGCTCAGAGTGGGGTGGGGGGACCATTACTGGACTCTCAGCCCCATCTTCCACTCAAAGTAAGAAAAGGTCTTTCTTCTAGTTTGGCTTGAATATCTCTGATAGTAGGGGGTACTCTTTTCTCATAGGCAGCCTACTACAGGAAAGTCCACCTTGCTTGGAATCTCTGAGGTGGAGATGGATCATCAATTCTCAGCACATGGATGGATAGATACAGCCACAGGCTGGAACCTGCTAAGTTATTCTTGCCCACAAGCCAATTAGGGGCTCCAAGCTGTGGCAGAGAGGAGTAGCATCTACCTGAAGCCCCAGCTTAGTGGTCTCACATCACAAAGAGAGGTCTCCACTGAAGTACTCACTGCATGTCACTCCTTGTCAGGGAGTTAGATCTTTCCTTTTCTCCCTATGCTTTCTTTCTCTCTCCTTCTCTCCCCTTCATTTCCCTCCCTCCCTGCCCCTCCCCTTCTTCTTTTTTCTCCTCTTTCTTTTGCTCCCTCCTTCCTTCTTTTCTTCTCTCTCCCCTACTTTCCTTTTTCTTATTCTTTTTTTATCACTTCTATACCCTTGGTACTCTGAGAATTTGTTATCTTTTCAGTTTGCCCAGTAGGTTGGAAAGCCTCAAAGTAAAGCCCACCATAATGATATGGATGGGGTAAGACATTCACCTAGTAGAGAGCCTTAATTTGCTCCTATGGCAAAACTCCAAATGATAAGAAACAGGAGCAAATATTCAATAATAATGGGAACAAGGTGCACCTGATCCGGGCTATAGTCTTCGCAGTTATGTGCTATGCATCAGAGAGTTGGACAGTGAATAGGGCTGATAGAAAGAGGATTGATGCCTTTGAGCTGTGGTTCTGGAGAAGAGTGTTGAATATACCACGGACTGCTAGGAGAACAAACAGGTTTGTCCTGGAGAGGGTGAAGCCAGAGTGTTCCCTGGAGTCAAGGATTCTGAAGCTTCGTCTGACATATTTTGGGCATGTTGCAAGGAGGGACTGGTCCTTGGAAAGGGACATTATGTTTGGCAGAGTGGAGAGGAAGCGAAGGAGAGGAAGACCTTTGGTGAGATGAATCAATTATGTGACTGGAGCGGTGGGAATAAGTGCGTTTGAGATGGCGAGGTTGACACAGGATAGAACAGCATTTAGAGCTCTTGTACATAGGGTCGCTATGGGTCGCAAGCAACTTAATGGCACATAACAACAATAACAACAACAACAATGGGAACAATCTCCAATAATAATGTAAACATGGAATATACAAAGTGTTACTCTAGAAAAGTCGTGAGTTGTAAAAAAATGAAATGAAATGCAAAATGATTAATATCCTAGGTATGAGAGACTGAGATAGCTTGATATTAGTTATTTTGAATTAGACAATTGCATGATCTGAAATGACAGATTGAAGATGAATTATGAAGTATTCATTGTCAAAAAGAGCTATCCTAAAGAACAATGGTATGAGTGATAGGATACCTTCCTTGAACATACAAGGAAGTCCTATTAATACAATCATTATTCAAATATGTGCACCAAACATGAAAGCCAAAGATAAAGAAACTGAGGCTTTTAAATAATTTTTATTATTACTAGTTTGTTTTTGTAAGCAGAGTGGCATCCACTTCCTAAACAACATGTCTCCAGAAACTCTATGAACTTTGATAAATGTAGATAGCTGTAGAGGGGCTTCAGGACTTTTGTACATATGGTTGCTATGAGTCATGCTCGACTCGAAGGCAGTCAACAACAACAACAAAAGTTTATTTACAAAATTTGAATACATTGTTTTCCAGAACAGATTCTTCCAATT